ATTCTCTAATGGCTTGAGCAAAGTTCTCGAAATGAAGCCGCAGGAGAAACTTACTTCAAATTCGGATAATTTGCAGCTAAAACATCCTGAATGGTGTCCTGATAGTTGTTAAAAGATAGTTTAATCTGGAATTTGGAGGAGCAATCCGAGTTCGTATAAACGTTTATTTTCAGTTAAAAAAGAAGATTGAAAAAGCGGCTCACTGTAGATAAAACATGACTCCAATCTTCATAATGCTCATTTTGTACTAATAAACGATAGAAGTCCTGGAAATTTTGAATCTTAAAAGAGCAATAAGCAAAATAAAAAAGAAATACCTGAAAATATCGTCCACGGTGGTCACGTGCGCTAGGACCGAGTTGCTCTGCCACGTCTTTGTCAACATCGCCGAGAAGATAAAAACGTGAGCAAAGTATAATTGACACGTAATGAGCACTAGAATTCATATGCCATTTGGAGAACAGCTCAGCCATAAATCCTAAAGTAGATTATGGCAGCGGAGATGTCAACTATATTCAAACTCGTTCTCGATATGTAACAGAAAATTTCATTTACCATCATATAAGTTAAACACTCAAACGTGCTTATAGACACTGATGATTCAGTTTTTCAAAAAACAGCGGTAGTTCTTCAAAATGATAAAAATGAGAAATTTCTAAAGCTGACTTCTGCAGGGATAATGAGAGATATTTAGAAGAAGTATTTTGTAACCCCCAACTTTGTTTTCAGATTTTTACTAATTTTTTTTTGATTTACTAAAACAGACCATCTTTTTTGACTCTCGGGAGCATAATTAAGGATTCGCAAAAACCCGGAAGCTAATGGCCTCAAAAATTTTCCTAGACATTCGTAGTCAATGTTTCTCTGATAATATTCTAAATGTATCAGCTGAAATGGCTACATCGCTAAGCGTTGACACGCTGAACTAAGCACTGTGAGCTTCGAAGCTCAATAATTCCAAGTTAAGACGCAAAGTTTAAAAACATACCTTTTACACACTTTTCGAAATAAAGATCACCCTGCGGATCAAGCTGCCACATTTCAGAGCTCATTTGGATATAAATAAGGATCTAAAATATCAATCACTGAGTACCACCACCTTCACATTTATAGAAAACTAGAAATAGTTTAAATCTTTGAAGAAACAAAGATAAGAAGCAACAAACACATCACTAAAGGAGCACAAAAATAGAGCAGTTGTTGCAAAAACGGGAATACATTGAAAGACTTTCATAGGACTGTAAGCTCCAAAAAGAAGGAAGAAAAGAAACTCAGCAGATATATAAAAAAAGTTTTTAATTGTTAAAGAAGGTTGCTCATGCAAAATAGTAAAGTTATTAAAAGATGTGACAGCAAAAAATTCTATAACCTTTACTACTTTGCTAGTGAACGATTTTGTTTAAGAGCATTGTTGAAATGTAATTTACAAAAACGATACCAAACTTAAACAG